ACTTCAGAACTAGGCTAGTGGTTCTAAAGAAAATCTCTTTTGTCTTTACTAGTCAATAATGAAATGAACGAAATGAAGATGGTGTGTGTTTTTTTTTTTTGGTAAATATAGAAGACTATTTTATTTGAAATAGTGATGATAGATTCTAGTCGACAATATTGTTGTCTCTAATTAAAAAAGGATTCACTTTCTTACTTTCACTTCTTTAAGATTCATAGAGCTCAAATGTGTTTGCTATACAGTGACTCATAATTAACATTATTGAGTTTGGTTACTGAAGAAGGAGTCTGGGCTGAAAGTGTGTAGCAGTTTTCCACAACAAAGGTTAAATCAAAGAATTCCTTGAATAATGCTCAATTAACTCTGGATCAAGTTAATCCGCAAACTGTCTTCTTTTAGACAGGGTAGGAAAACTGTTCTATTTATTTGCTAGAGCAGCCTAGCCTTCTTTTTAACTATGCAGATTCTTGTACTCTCCCTGCAGGGGGCTATGAGGCGGTAGGGCACAGAGGGACTCAGGAACATGCATTTTTTTCATTAAACATTCCCCGACTGGTTCTGAGGTAGGTGTGCTCAAATCATACTTTGATCATAACTAGACGAGGAGGTAAACTGTAGTTGTCCACGTGAGAGAGAAGGAACAGCCAGGTCTCTGTGAGGCTTGGGAAGGATCCTCTAGTAGAAGAAGTTGACCCAGGTTGAAGGTCAACTTCTACCGTTCACTCCCTGAATCTTTTTCCTATTGTGTAATTGAGAGATACATTAGCTTCCTGGGCTGCCAGAACAAAGTGTACCGCAAGCCAGGTGACTTAAAACAATGGACAACAACTGGAGACTAGAGGTCCATCACGAAGGCGTCAGCAGGGCTGTTTCCCCTCTGAGCCCGCATGGAAAGCTTCTTTGTCCCTTCCTGGCCTCCGGTGGTATCCACTGAGCCTTCGTGTTCCTTGGCTTGTAGCTGCAGTCACCCCGTTCTGTGCCTCTGTCACCCATGGTGGTCCCCCTGTCTCTTTCTTCTTGTGAAAGGACATCAGTCATATAGACTAAGGATCCTTTTCCACTCCAGTATGACCTCATCTTTCCTAAACCAATCACCTCTGCAAAAATCCTACTTCCCAATACAGGTCACATTCTGAGGTCCTGGAAGTTAGAATCTCCACATATCTTTTTGGAAGACACAATTTGCCCACAGCAGAAGGAGGAAGGGGGTGGGCTCGAAAAGGTCAGGGGTTCTGAAATCAGAGTCAGTGACTGGTTCAGCATGACTCTTTAAAGGTCTCTTGAGAAACAAGCTAAAATTACAGGTTTCTTTAACTCGACCTCCAGAGTCTGACTTAGGAAGTATGAGATTGTGCCTTGGGATCTGTATTAATTACCACTTTGCAGGAAATACCCTCGCTGAGGGACCCTACCAGAAGCAGCCACTTAATTGCTGTTTTACTGAATGTACTGGGTAAATAATAAGTTATGACTCCATAAAACTTATGTAATAAGCACGTGTAACTATGTGCAGTGTCTTCACAGTGCTCTGCTACCATGCTTCCCTCTGTTTCGGCCGGGGCAGGTAAGTGGTGTTCACACATTACACTTGTTTACTTAATCGTCCCATGCTCTTAAAGAAAATTAAAGCTTCTCTTAAGAACAGTTTTTTATAAAATTAAGCACAGTTTTGATGTTTTCATTTTTCCACTATTTCATTATCAAAGGGATGATGAAAATTGGGTCATTTGCTCTCATTATGACTGTTTTCTTTTCATTAATCGGGGCAAAAGCTCTGCTTGAAGTGGAATCAAAATGCGAATACGAGCTCACCCGGGCCTCTGAGGGTTTCAAGAGGCCATGCATTTGATAAAAATGGCATGTTGAAAAGTCCGCCTTTCAAGCTAGAATACAGATAAAATAGAGATGGACTGAAGCGAATGGAGCTCTTCGCTGCAGACACGCTCAATAATACATATGTTGTTAATCCCTGGTCGTTTCCAAGTAATTGCAGGCTTCTTCATGGAACCAATTTTCTGATTTTGGAGACTAAGATAATTCAAATTGCATGTCTTTAAGTAGGATAATAAGTGGAGTCTGCCAGTGCTTGTTTGCATAGCTGCTCATGCTGAAGGAAGGAATTGGACGATGTGTGACTTAAAACGATAGTTTTGTCATTTAGTCCTTTCTCTGGCAAGTGGGGTCACAGCAGTCTAAGTATGAATAAGTGTGTCTCGGGATCGCTGAGTTGCATGTTGAGTGGAATTTATAATTTTTACTGTGTAGTTGGCTGTGTCAAGTAATGCATTTTTAAAAAAAAAGGAAATGTGGTTGCTATGTGAACAATTTATAATCCGTGCATAGTTTCCTTTGAGTTTTTTACTTACACTTGTGGTCCAGTGGGACTTTTTCTCTACAGTGTCATTGTCACTGATCTGCATTTAGTTTGCAATATTCCATGCAGTATTTTTGCCTCTCTGGTGATGTTGCGTGTAAAGTGAGGTACAGATTTTTGATGATTCCTTGCCAGTCTGGTCCACAAAGTATTTTGCCTAAATTATTGTCTCATAGAAAGCATTTTTATATGAATTCCCAAATATTTTAATGTTTGTATGGCATGTATGGATCTAGATTTAGGAGGAGTGTGACTGGATGCAGATGATGTCTGTGAACTTTTCTCAAGGTCAAGTTGAAGATAGAGAGAAATTATTTCCGAACTTTTTTTGGGGAGTATAGTTGATGTACAATTTTGTGTTCATTACAGGTATATAGCAAAGTGATTTGGTTATACATATATGTATATATCTATATTCTTTTAAAATTCTTTTCCATTATACTTTATTATAATATATTTAATATAATTCCTGTGCAATACAGTAAATCGTTGTTTACCTATTTTATATATGGTAGGGTGCCTCTATTAATCCCATACTCCCTGTTTATCCCTCCCCACTCCCCCTTTAGTAACCATAACTTTGTTTTCTACGAGAAATACTGTTTCTTTTCATCATATCTTTTTGGTTCGTCCAGCGTCCACTAAGACTGAAGCCTTGATTTCCAGATTATCAGAGAAGGGTTGCATATTCTCTTGAGAGATCTACTATTGTTTGTGTCTCTGGGTCAGTGGTCATCAAAGAGAAGTATGAGAATCTAAGCTGAGTAACACTCCAATAGTCCAAAGACTAGTGATGACATCCCACGTAAATATTCAGACCTTCACTGGAAAACGGTAGTTTCAGGCAGAGTGGCACATATATTATCACTCAGTCTCAGAATTTACTGGCTGTTCCTCATCAAGTCGTTGGGTTTTCTCACTTGTAATGGTTTCCTTTTGGCTACAGCTTACGTTCACTGCCATGCTTCAGTTCTCGCATTTGTGTACTAACCAATTAATTAATGTAAAAATAGTTCTCAAATATTTACTGCCTGGCTGCACACACTCGGGTTAAACAGCTTAAGAGAAACTCTCAGTTTAATTGAGGAGCTAGATCCAGGGGGAGAAAATTCCATTGTTGGAACATGATAATTGGTACAGTATAGCACAAGGGCGCGATGTGAAAAAGAATGCGTGAGAAAGAAAGTAACAAGAAATCCATGGGTTGTAAGATACTCCTCGTGAAATAGGCAATTATAATGAAAATGTTCTTCAAACTATTTATTCCTTTACTGTGTATTTACTGAGCATTTCTATGTGTCGGACATTGTGCTGACGAGGACAGGAATGTGGATGGACCTCAAGACTCCCAGGTTGGGAGGAAGATAGTTAAGTGGATGGAACATCACAGCCTTGGGAAGGAGCTGCCCCAGAGAACGGAGGGCAGTACCCTGGAGCATAGAGGCAGGCGCGCTTGAGGAGTAAAGAAAGTGAGGTCCATGCAGACGAGCACAAACCAAAATGGGGTCATTGAAAGAGATGAGGGATCCTCACAGAAACAAACGCAGAGGGTGTCTGGCCTTCAGAGAACGGGACTTGGTGTAGTGTGCTGAGGCCAGAAGCTAGGTGGAAATAAACAGGTGCTGATTCTGAAGGATGTGACCTATTTGATTCAAAAGTGGAAGTGTTGGAATTTTATTTTTAATAGTAAAATTTTTTAATAAGATAACGTCCAATTCAGTCTCCTAAGTGACAGTGAGCTCACTGTAACTCAACAAGTATATAACATTAATGGCCTGGAGACATACGATAACAAATGCAATTATATTTTCCCCCAGAACACAAGGATATGACCACCTTATATTGTGCATGGCAGATAAACAAGGTCACACTCAGGCAGTGGCAGGTCCTGGTTTATACCGTCAGCCCTGAGGGGTAAGCTGGCATTGCAGTGACACTTGACTCCACTGTGTTCTCCGTCCTTCAGTGGCCTGGATTCCTGCTCCTTTTGCTGCTCCTGCTGGTTCTGGGTGGAGTTTTGGCAAAATATGCTGAGAGTGCAGTGAGATGGGTGAACAGAGAGGAGGAAGAGGACAAAGACAGCGGCTCTTTCTGGAGGGGGAAGAGGTCACTCTTCAGGGCATCCAGTTGAGATTTTGCTTGTGCTGCCCAGGAACTTGGTGACTTAGGGAAATCCTTCAGTCTCTCAGGACCTCAGTTCCCTTATTTATAAAATGAGAGACTGTCATGATGGCCTCTCTAACTTTGATATTCAAAGACTTCAAGTTCTGTAATTCAATGGCAGGACTCTTTTTTTATTGCTCGCTTTCTTTCTTTCTTTCTTTCTTTCTTTCTTTCTTTCTTTTATTCTTTCTTTCTCTCCTTTTCTTTCTTTCTTCCTTTCTTCTTTCCTTCCTTCTTTCCTTTCTTTCCTTTTTTTTCATTCTTTCTATGTGAGTTACAGAAACTATAAAACTGTAACATATGTATTTTGACCTTTGAATCTAAGGCAATTCTTTTAGGTAAAAAAGTTTTCTTTGAGATGATTCAGGTAGAATCTTCACCTTTGACAGGGATTTAAAAATTTTTTTTGTTTGTTTTGTTTTGGGGGGAAGGTAATTAGGGTTGTTTATTTATTTTTATTTAGTGGAGGTACTGGGGATTGAACCCATGGCCTCATGCTTGATAAGCATGTGCTCTACCACTGAGCTATACCCACCCTCCCCTGACATGGGGATTCTGAAAGACAATTACAGAAAACAGCTGTAATGCAGAACTCCATGTGGTAATTTCAAATCCAAGAATTAGATTCAAATCCTCTGACAGTTTTCCATCTCCCATCAGTCGTGTCCAAGATACAGCATTTCTTCTGTTTCATCCCTTAGTTGAAGTTAAATTCTTCTGGAGACTAGGCTGCATGTTTTTATTTATTTTTTAAATCCAGAATGTTCTTTGTCATCTGACAGGGTAACATATTAAACTGCTTAAAATGCTTCGTGAATGAAATCACATGTCTGAAACGCTGTGTCCGTTACGAGAGCTCTCCAAGGGCAGGCTTGTGTTTGTTCAGTCCCCTTTGTCCTTTTTGTCTTACCTAGTTTCTCATCCCCAGGCTTTTTCTCTCTCTTTTCAATCCCAGTAGTGATCTTAGGCATAAAGCAGATTTCTATGCAAAGGCAGTTTGTTCAAATTGGTAGGGTGGATTACGTAAAAAAAAAAAAATTATTTGGCATTTTTTATCTGGTTTAAATGGATTAAAAAGAATCATGATGATCAGAGCTTCAGGGCTGGCCCCATCTGATTTTACATTCTCACAAGCTTCTGTGGTTGAAGGAAAATTGCATTGAATTTTCATAAACACATTATTATCTAACTCCCTCCCACCTTAACGTGTTTTGACATCAAATCCTTAAATATGTATTGACGATCTCCACGTGAGAGGCTAAGTAGTGTAACGTGCACATTGAAGCTCATGTACACAAGAACATGAACCCACGAGGGCAGGAATTCCTCTTTGTTATTGTTACATTCCTTTTGTCTTCAATAGTGTTTGGCAAATTAAGTTGTTAACGAGATTAAATTAATGAATGTGAGAATAACCCACGTTCACCAGAGGATGAGAATGGTTCCTGTTTTGTACAGCTTGTGTCTGCAGCCCCTAGGAAAGTGTCTGCCTCTCATTTGTTGAGTGAGTGAATGGACTTAAGGATTGGGTCCTGGTTGTTAAAGAGTTTACAGTCTGGTTTGGGAGACAGATTGGCAAAATAGTCAAGAGCAGTAATGTTTTGGGACCACAATGGAAAATTATCACAAAACAGTCATATTTTAATTGTGCAAATAATAACATAAATGATTGTTCTAGATATTCAAGGCTGGAAAATAATGTATGACATACACTACCCCTAAGACTTTGACTTTGCTGGATTATTTTTATTTATGTATGTACTGAATAAATCTTTACATGCCTCTATGGTCCAGGCAGTATATCAAGTACTGGGGAGTCAACAGTGAATAAATAGATGTAGGTCTTGTGCAAATTGAACTCATAGTCAAATGGGGAAAACAGTCTAAAAAAGTAATAAATAAAATGAAAAATTCTGAAGGGAAAAATGAGAGGAGCTACCTCTGAAAGGCTAAATGAGAAGAGTGGAATCTTTGAGCTGAATTTAAGGAATCTACTTTTCAAAGAACATTCCAGGCAGATGAGGCTTTGTGTACAAAGGCCCTGAGTCTCTGAGGCTGTGTGGAATTCAGTCCCCAAGACAGCTGTTCTGGATGGGGATGAAGTGGCAGGTACCAAAGGATTTTGAACAGGAGGGCTTGGTAAATCAGTATACCATGGTGGACATGATATAACGACTTTTTAAAGACATTCACCCTTGCTTACGAGTGGAGAATGGATTGTGGAGCCCAAGAATGGAAGTAGGCATTTTAAAATAGTTCATCAAAGACTTGATTAAGGTAGCAGCAGTGAAGAACATGTGATCTGGAAGGATTTGAGGTCAAACTAAAGAATTTGCTGTTGGAAAAAAAAGTGGAGGATGGCTAAGGGAAAAGGGGTCAAGGAGGAGTTCTAGCTTCCTGACTGAATTAAAGGGGGAGAGTGGGGTTCTTTATTGAGGTGGAAAATACCAGTGCAAAGAAACAAATGTGGGGTGGGGAAGCATGGATTCAATGGTGGACAAGTTAAGCTTGAGATATCTGCCAGGTAAACTCAGAGATGTCAAGTCAGAGCAGGGAACTAGACATGTGAATGTGGATCTCAGAGGAAAGGTCTGAGCTGATGATGTAGACAGGGGAGCCTCCAACATGTTGAGGCCCCAGTGATGGAGAACCAGCCGGGCATATGAATATTCCATGAATACTCATCGTTGTACAGCATTTGATAACGTTGTAAGTTCTTAATTAATAGTTATCAATTAAATGAAATTTGTTCTATAAATATATCCAAAGATTTTGAGAGGCATCAAAACGACCACTCACTGTAACTGGCTACACCCTCAATCCTAAGATCAGTGGGTGAAAATTGTACAAATATTTTCAATATTCTTTACTACGTGCAAACTTCCAGAGTGAATTCCACCCTAAGGCAGACATTTAGGATTGGGACAGGGGTTTCACCTGTTAATATTTTACTACATTAAAAAAGCAGTTATCATGGTAAGTTTTCACGTTTTGGTGCACGTATCTCTCATTTTCAGTAAAGAATTGTTTGAAAAATTTAAAGAATAAGGATCTAATGTTTTTAAACTGAGCGCACTTAGGATGAACATATTACATGCTTGTTAGTGACACCTCCGCTGGGCAGGGATGTTGTCATTTGGCTCCGTTGCTGTACCCTGGCATCCAAGGCCAAAGAAGGATGACCAGATTTTTGCACTTGCCAGGTTGAAGCCAGGAGCTTCATAAGGAATAGGAAGACTCTTTGTGGTTCCCCAAACACTGTGGAATCAGAGGAGGCACAGCACCCTGGAGGGCTGTAGTGTGACAGTGGAGTTCCACAGAATGTTGTCACAAAGAAAGATTGAGCAACCATGAGAAGGAATGGTTGACCTATGATTTTCTAGCACCTTCGACGTTAAAAACTATTGGTTGGATCTGTCAGAAATTATTTCCTCTTCAATATCCTTTTTCCCAGGATAATAATGTAGTGGGAGTCAGAAGGTAAACAGAAGTCAATTACAGAAATGGGTGTTATTGCTTATTTGCTAGTTATGTCTATAAACCATATAGAGTGGGTTTATGGGCAGGGTGTAGACTGTGTCAGCCTGTCCACCATCCAGGGCTGCAGTCATCCAACCTTTCTTAGCACAGATGTTTTTCTTGACCTTTGGGTATTGACTTCTCCTACTATTTCTGCCTCACTGAGTTGCCCTCCTCAAAGGGCTGTAGCACTTTTTCCACCACTACAGAGTTTCCAAAGGAGAAACATGTGGTCCATCTTGCTCTTGATGTACTGTATTAAAATATTTACTTTTCATTCATCTTCAACAAATAATTTTTGAGCACCTACTTTGAAAGTTCTACAGAGGACCAAAGTGTAAAGTACAGACCACAGTCTAAGCTGGACTGAGTCGGGCCGGTTAGTATGCCCCAAGTCACATCAAGGCTTCTTGAAGCACCTTCATGCCCTCCAGTCCTCATGGGAGATCTTGCTTTAGTCGCGGTGGGAATGGATAAGTAGCCAGGAGTAATGACAGGGATTTCTTCTTTGTATGTCTCCAACCGTCTACGTGTCCACTCTGTGTGCTTCTTCTTCCATTTCCTCCCCCTTTACCTTTATTTCCTGTCCCACCTCTTTATCAACATCCTCTTTCCTTTTTATAGCTTTAATCTTGTTCTCTTCCTAAACTGGCGGACAGTTTTTGTTGGTATTTCTATGCCAACCTTTGACTATGCATTTCCCACAAGACTAAAGTGCTTTTCTGCTTCCAGTTTCTCTCTCCAGTCTACATCTCTTCACGCCTGGGGCTGGGGTGGTGTCTGACTGGGGATGGTATCTGACTTGCCCTGGTCTCTAATCAAAAGAGCATAAATCTGACATCTGAAGACAAACCACAGTGCTATCCATTCTTTCCCAGCATCGTCTGCTTACTGTGGTATTTATACAATTAGCCCCATCTCTATAGATGGAGGAGTCCAGACTATCACCTGGTACCCATTTCTCAGCTAATGGGACAGAGGCACAAGCCTGTAGAACAAAAAGGTCTATTTCCAAATGAAAACTAGATATGCTGTGGAGTCCTGAGTCCACTCTCTGCCCTGTGTCTTAGCAGGTATGGAAGGGTGCCTTTATGTAATTCTCTCTACTAATCAACTCCACCGTTCCTTTACCTGGAAAATTAGTAATCCAAATAAACTTCCGTTACTGCAGCTAGAACTTACAACTTCTGGCATGCAAGGAGCCGGAGTGCCACGTTTAGTTACTGATGCCAACTATCATATTGCCTGACATCTCAGTGCTGGAGTTCTCTTTGCCAGTTTAATTTTGCTGTAGGGGATGAAAAATCAGTTATCAGATCCCCTGACCACTTGTGTAAATCTCCGGGACAACATCTTCAGAAGAAAACAGTTCATTTTTCCCTTTCTCACTTCAAGAAACCTGAGCCAATAATTAGATATGCTTTTATTCTCAGTTCTATTCTCATGAATCCTCCAAGTTATGTCTTTTTCTTTGGGGTTTTATTTGTTTTCAAACCAGAAGAGCACTTTAAGTAAAGTTTATGGAATTTAAAAATGCCCAAGGCTTAGTAACACACTATTGGAATATTTGAATATCACTAAATTTGCAGCAATAAAGTTATGTGTTGTGGGTTTTTTGGCAAGGGATAAAGGTTGGAGTTGTCCCAGGAAACGTTTTTCTCACATAGTTGGTCATTGACTCAAATGGCATGTGTTCTGCAATCATACTTGCATGACATTGGTGGGTCTCTAGACACAGTTAGTTCCTTCTCACTGAATGATCAGGAATGTTTTTTAAATGCAGCACCTGCTCTCTGAAAGATGCTGGGGCCAAGACTGGAGAAGTCCCTGGGTCTTGACCACAAGGAACTTACAATCTAGTTGGGAAGTTAAGACATTACACTGTGGTCCCAAAGACATCATTAAAAATGTAAACCCTGTCGTCTCTACCTTCAAAACATACAGAGTCTGATTCCTGCTTATCACATCCATTGCTGCCACCTATCCTGTCCATTAAGCCACTGTCATCTCTCATCC